TTGTACAAACAAACACTCGAGAGATTCCTATAATGAAAAGTATAATTTGACCTTGAATTTTATATGCGGTTCTTAACTTTGTTTTAACTTGTATTAAACACTCTCCGGCACACACACACACATTTATATATCATTTTATTTGATGTTTATTGCAGCAGAACAGTAACGCCATTTGTCAAATGCTAAATAAATAGCAACAAGAGAACACTATGTTAATGGTTTAGTAGCTGCCAAATTCATGTCCACCAATTTTCCTCAAAATTTTAAATTTGATTTATGATATACAAAAACGTGTTTAGCAAGTACAATCTAAAACATAAACTTCAGAGAATCGTAAACAATATCAACATTTTAGGATAAAACGCAGTCTAATTGACATTGCCGATAGTCATAAGAATCCGATATAAATATAAATAATAAATAGCATGCGATGCAATAGTAAACTGCTCTTTTTAATGTCATATCACAGAGAAAGTTTTACCTTTAACCGGTTAAAGAATAATTTTCTTTTGCGGGCCAAATCAGCCGTTGTCAGTCCCCTTTTTACGTGAAATTTTATATAATCAATGAAAATACTGAGCACATGCGTAATCATCTCCAAAATGGGAGAATTAAAATCATTTCCTTTGTTTTTAAGTTTATTTTTCCACTGACCGTCATTGTCAGTTTTTAGATCGAAGTCGAGATTTGAATTTCTATTGTATAGATGGGACCAGCAAAGTCACCATACATTGAATTATTTAGTAAGAGGAAATCATCTATATAGCGGAGCATGAGGACCTCCATTATAAAGTTTGTCTCATGCGAATAAAACAAGTCAACCGAAAAGAAAAGGAGCACATTTGACTTCCATAAAAATGCCAACTTATGTTGAAAAACGTGTACATTAAACGTAACAAATATGTTTACAATAAACGATTTAGCATCACTGCACGTTTTGTTTGATTTTACAATGCATGATTTACCCCTCCCTGAAATAAGTCATACCTGCTTTTGTTGTTAGTTTTTAAAAATCAAAATAAGTTATTTCAAACGGTCTTATTTATAATATCAAAAATTATGTTGTCTATTGCAAAATCAATAAATTTCACGGCACTTTTAAAAGTACTTCAAAATACATTTGTTTATATGTTCTGCTTCCCCTTTCTCTTGAAATTTTAAATCTTATCTTAAAACTATTCGTCTGGATTGTTTCTTAAAGTTGCAGTGAAAGATATTTCTATGCATCACATATAACCAATAATAGATTTTGAGCTGTTGCATTCAATTATCATATGTCAAAGATTTAGTGTGTATATCAAATCTTCACGTTGGCCATTCTTTTATTTATGGAACAAAGTTGGACTTATTCTTCAATCTGTTCTGAAGTTAAGAAGAAAGAATACTTGTGTTAAGGAAATAATAAAAATTGATATTTGTAACCCATTGTCATGGTAATATTATCTATAAAGCAAACAAGTTTGTTACTTGTTCTTCAAATCATTCATTTTGGATTAATAGTTGGACTTAGTGGTAAATGTTATAAGAACACTCATCGAAGATACCAAACTTATATTTGGGTACGCCAGACGCGCGTTTCGTCTATAAAAGACTCAGTTATGACGCTCGAATTAAAATCGTTAAAAAGCAAAGTAGAGTTCAAAGTTGAAGAGCATCGAATGATACTGTGTGTGTGTGTGTGTGTGTTTTGTTAAATCCTGAATATGATTTTCTTATTTATCACAATTCTCTGCTAAAAAAGGAAACGCATTATAGTTTCTTTTTAAATTGCATTTTGTGTACTTCAAATCGATATTTTACAGCAAGGATCAGATAAAATATTATATTTGGACCTGCGTATCCTTTGAAATTCATGTTGCAACTCTTGACTGAGTTGGTTCGATAATTGAGGCGTCTATCAATTTCGTCTCAAAGATGTTCAATGGGATTCAAATTCGGCGACTTTGAGGGCCATTACAGAACACTTATTGTATTCTGATTTAGGAAATCCATGGTCATAATTGATGATTGGGGCCGGGCATTTCCTGCTGAAACATCTCCACCTGCCGAGCAATTGCATTTATATTGAGCATGTGTGACTGCAGAATACAGACTATAATGTCGAGTAGATTTTTCTTTGGACACACAATAGGTTTGTTTTGAGGTTGTAGATTATTGCTGCCCATATCGTGAAGCTTCAAACCCTAAGTCTATCAACTTCCTATATGCTCATGCAATGCCTGTATACATGGGTTCATCCATCACATCTTTGGAGAAAAAAAACGTAACTCATCGCTGAATAAAATTTAGCTTGAGTCCCTTAAAGTCAAGACCCTTAATTGGCCTTAAAAATGGAGTAACAAAATTACCGAACCCTAAGGTAAATTTAAAGAAGGTGAAGTTCATGAAAACTGACCAGCGTTCAATTATATCAACCAATGAAACGACTAGAAAACAACTGTCAAATTCCTTAAATAGTAGTGGTCTTTTCCGATAAAAATGGAGGGTTGAAACTGGTTGCATAGCTACATGTAGTTAAACCTTCCACTTGTCTGTTTTCCGTTATATTGACAACATTTTGTGAACAATCTAACATATAATTATCAACATAAGGTCTTCTGAGTCCAATTTCGCGTTGGCGATGCATGTTACGGACATGAAACACTCGGATAGACCAAGATTTGCTTAAATAGTGAAACAATGTCTATTGCTTCTAGGGAGACTTTGAGCTGATCCAGATCAATTTAAAGTCGGTCAAAGGTGTGAAATTGTGATCTTCTGAACGTTGAAGTGGACCTAAGTTTGAGATTGTCCACTTTGAATACGGCATGTCTTGGTCAATATACTTGACGAGTCGCAAAAAGCTCGAATTGGTCTTTTGTATTTTGAATACACCTTTATTAAATAATTGCTTATGTATTTAATTATTCAATATTCGTTTTTTATTGTCATTTTATTCTAAAAACCAATCGGACCTTAACTTTGCGTAACATGTTTTGCAGAATCTAGTTCAAAATTCGAAAATGTTTCTTTCAGTTTTTTTTAATTTAAATCATTTATACATATTTTGTGGCATTGCACAAAAACGTATAACCCTGCACATCTTCATATCACTGATAAACGTGAAAATAAACCTGTTCAATGGTTGGCCGTAGTTGCATCGTAATAAATAGTTTTGTTCTATAATAAATATATTTACTTCTTTCCTGGACTATGAGCTATTTGTTGTAGATACGCACTCAGCTTTGGCTATACTTTTTGTCCTTTTTGGTTTATAAGCTCTTCATCTTTTTAATAAATTTTGGGATTTTCAATTATTTTAACCTCGAGCATCACTATGAGACATTTATTGTCGAATTGGTGGAGAAACATGAGTATACCTAATGTTATTGACTGTTACTATAATTTATAAAGCTATATTAGCTACGATTTCGACAGTATAATCTGTAAAAAACAATTGGAATAGTACGTGATCACCCAAGAAACAATTTTATTTTTAGTTATATTGTGTTTATATAACTTTAATAGTTTCTTTTAAAAAGATTTTGTTGTTTCGTAATTGCGCATGTTGTTTCCTCAAAGAAAATACGAATGGAAAACTGCATAAAATTTATTTGTTTTCATGAAAAAGGCGCATATCATGACGTCATAACATTAAAAATCTTTAATTTGACTTCATTGTAAGAATATTGTTAACTTATCACAACATTGTTTTTTAACGATGGAACCAGGAATGCGTCAGATTACTTGTACTTTATTGAAAAAGTACTATTAAATCAACATATAGTACAACTCTTAAATTTAAAACTTTCAAATTTCCTTTCAATGTACAGAGTCTCATTATATATTTTTAGTGTGACAATTATTTTTCTTCAGGTAATCTAGGTAACGCTTCACATAATACTTTTACGTCTGAAATTCACCCATCAATGTTAAAATTGTTTTTGCTCTTACTGTGTTACCATTCTTACTACCCTAAATTACGCCGACACGAAAAGACATCACCCAAATAACGGAAGCTATATCTCTGGAAATCTAGCCAACCTGAGTAGAATTGAGAGCTTGACACAATGCAGGCAGTGTTTTCGTTCATGTCTTAACATCTTGAGTTGAATTCCAGCTGAGGGGACTTTATTAATTTGCAAGTGCAAGAAAGTAGTTCTAGCATGTTAAGGATACATTCTAGACTTAAAGAGTATTCTTTTTATTTATATTTTTATTGTTACTCGTAGGCAATATAGTACCTGTATATAAATACTAACCTATAAATTTCAGACAACAGACATTTCATGCTCTTATCTATCGTGTATTTGCATGTTTGTCACGCTAAGCTCCTTAAAAAGCATTACCAGTCTATACAAATCCCAAATAACTATCTCAGCTAAAACATTAATTTTGTATTTTGTTTGATTACTTCGAGCACTTAGACGTTCTTAATCTTATAAAATGTTGAGCAAAATAACCCCTTCTGTTCTGTTTTAGCAACAATGTTACATAAGGAAGCAGAAATAATGTTTGATTAAATGGAAATCATTTAGGATTAATGCGATTCAACAACTTAATTTGTTCTGCTGATAAAAAAAGTTAGGAATGGATTGAACGCTTAAAGCTACCATTTGGTAAATAATAAATCAAGCTATTGGTTTATAGCGTTTGCATCCGATTAAGATTGTTGAATAAGCGATTAGCATCCTGTTTGATATTCGTGATCTATCATTTTCAATTATAACTACATCTTGTATAACTGTTCTAAATAAAAATTACCGAATTAAAAAAATCTGCTGAATGATAGTTTTGCCATAAACTTCAAATACTACTTTATTTATGGATTTTGCTTTATTGGAGCTGTTTCCTAATTAAAGTAACATCAAATGTTTGCATTCGTTCCTTTATTAGCTTATATAATTATGTTTGCCAGGATTTGAATGACGTTACATCTATGGCTGAATAATGTATTTCCCCAATCCTACAATGAAGTGTTTGATTTGCATTTTTTTAAGAATTTCATAATATATTTTCAGATTATAAAGATGATGATTACTGTTGTTGTGATTTATGCCATTTGTTGGCTTCCCCTGAACATTATCAACTTTGTCGGAGCCATAGACATTAGAATATATAATATTCGAGGCATGAATTATATTTGGATGGGAAGCCATTGGCTTGCAATGAGTAACTGTATGTATAACCCTTTCATTTATTGCTGGATGAACGCCAAATTCCGGAATGGCTTTTTGAGAGTTTTCAGTTGTTTTACATGTGGAGTGATAGATTGTCAAGATAGACTGGAACTTGAACGACTGCGGCGCCAAGATACAATGCTCACATCTATGAATGGAAATAGTGGATCTTCAAGAAGATTTAATTCATCAAAACGTTCATCTTCAAATTCCAAAAGATCATACTGTGACTATACTGCTATAAAAGAAAAAGGCATTCAATAATAAAACTAGTTTTGTAGCACTTAGATGTAAATAAAAGATATATGATGTTTATATATTATACATTCATAGCGATGCCGTCCTGTTCTCACTTAAAGAATTGAACTATCACATGTAGCAGTTCTTCCGACAAAAATAAAGGAAAACAAATCCAAATAATTGAAGAATGTATTTCAGAGTCACATATCATGACAATGAAATAATTGTACGTTTTTATAGTAAATGCATCTCGTACCCCTTATTTGTCAATTTTATACTTGTTTGGCTTTCTAACTTTTTTTATCTGAGCGTCACTGATGAGTCTTATGTAGCCGAAACGCGCGTCTGTCGTAACAAATTATAAGTCTGGTACATTTGATAACTATTTATTCATGTAAGTAGGTCGTCTCATGTTTTGTTGACGCAGGCTGTGTGATCCTGTGCGTATGCATTTGCTATGCTTCTTTTATTTAATCCAAAATCAATGCAAGGAGTTGTTGATTGTATACGTTAATGAGACATCCGACGCTCAGACTTCATTTTAAGAAGACCTTTGTTTACAATTACATTATTTAGTTTATTCAGTATTAATACCCAACATAATTCGAATAGTTTTTTATTGTCAATCTTTCTTACAAATGTATGCATTTGCTAGTGACGGACCCAACCTTTTGAAAAGGAGGCACATTCTATATATTGTTTATAGATAAAACGCGCGTATCCCGTACATAATTTTAATCCTGGTATTTATGATGAGTTTATTTATAACAACTGGGTCGATGCCACTGCTGGTGGAGGTTTCCTCCCCGAGGTTATCACCAGCCCAGTAGTCAGAACTCCTGTGTTGACATAAATAGTCATTGATATGATCATAACTATAAATTAATTGTTACAAAACTGCGAAGGAATAGATTACCCTAGCTGTATTTGACAAAACGTTTCGGAAACTTAGATCCTCAGTGCTCTTCAACTTCGTACTTTATTTGGCTTTTTAAATTTTTTTTATTTGGGCGGCACTGATGAGTCTTTTGTAGATCAAACGCGCGCCTAGCGTACAAAATTTTAATCCTGGTATCTATGATGAGTTTATTTATATCGTAAATATGTAATTTATATTTCCATTGAATTTATCAGGTGATATCAAGTTCAAAGAAATTTTGTGTTAATCAAAGTGGTTGATTAAACAAAAGAGAGGCGAAAGATACCAAGGGGATATATGCCAATTCTTTAGTCAAAAACAAACTTTTTTATTAGTTGTTATTGGTTTTGAACTAGCCGTCAGTAACTGCGATTACTCTTAGATCTGTATTTTGTGTCTTTATGTCTTTTATTTATTTAGTTTTAGTCTAAGGGGAATGTATTTACATTGTTTGGTTATATCAATGCTAATATCTTCTTGGGGAAAACATCTTTCCATTATTTGCAGGAACTTTTCGTCAATTATTCATCTAAGGCAATTTGTTTCAAATCTTCATGATTGTAATAACTTGACTTTGTTATGTGCTGGTCTTTCTAGTGAGGAGGATGTACATATGTATTTGAGTTCCTTGTGATTTTAGAGAGTTATGTATTTTAAGTGAAGATGAACGATGTGGCACAACTTTGGGACCTTAAGTTCCACTTGCATTGCTGTGAGCTCTATCTGTGACTAGAACTTTTTGATCAGGCGATTAGATTTTGTAATTTTCTAGTGGCCAGGTTATTTGTCCAACTAGCTTAACATAACGAATACTCTAATCTCTTCTAAAGGAGGAAAACTGGCATACAGCCCTCACTCAGAAGTAACTTTGCACGAGATTTCATACTTTTAGAAAATACATCTTCATCACTTATATCATCACCATAGAACTTAGAGAGCTAGACGCTGTGCTAGACCTGGAGAAGATGCTGTAATTGACACTGAAGTAGCAATTGAAGTATCTATAGAAGGTACAATAGGAGCTGAAGTTAAAAAAGGTGATGAAGTTAAATTTGTAAAGCAAGAGTAATTCAAAGAAGAAGTTGGATTAAAAGCAGGATCTGAAGTCAAAGCAGGAGTTGGAGTTAAAACAGGTTTTGTTGTCTGATTGTGATATGGTCATAGGATGATTTAATCTGTAAATATTCTGTAAGTAACAGCTCATAATATTGGTCCCCTTGAAAACAGTTGCACTTGAGCTAATTCTTCTGGTTGATGTAGTGGTTTTTGTTTTTGATCATGCACCAAACTGGACCACCCATTTTACTACAAAGAATGTCTCTGACTTTTGGATCTTTTTTTTTTTAGTAGAACTCTGTAAATATCAGTTATGTATCAAGGATCAATGTGTATGTGTCCTACAGCTAAACGTATGTTTATTACTTCAACTTCAAGTGGTCTTACTGGTCAGGTTTAATTACTGTTTTCTTTGACTTGGCTCCTTTTTCTTCGTTGTGTCTCTTTCAGCCTTCAGACCTATCATTTTTCCCATTTACTTTCTTATTAATGGTAAGTAATTGTCAAACTTCTAGTCTAGCTTCATTACCTTCTGAAGGGATTTATTATCTTTCTGTAATCATCTGATTTGTTGGCCAGCCAAAAAAACATTGTTTTCAAAGAAAAAATACTGTGAAAGTTTTTGTTATCCTAAGCAGATGGTTCCTCTCTCCATGTTTCCTCAAATCTACAATTCTTCTGCAAGTTGTTTCTTCCTCGTATTGGTCATGTTACCCGCAATACATCATTGAAAGATGTGCTCAGATGGTTGGTCAGTTCTCGTCTGGATGAAAATCTTTCTGGACAAATCCAATACTGCTCAATTTTATATATTTATCAGTCATTCTGCTAAAATAAAGATAATAATAAAAATATTCGGCTAATTCGGACGCTTGAAATTTATAAAGTATTTTCAATTTTTTGGTTTTTGTATATAGCTTTTCGGTTATGATGTTCTCTGTATACATTTTGATGTTTGAAGTTCTGTGTATACCTTTGGGTTGTTGATGTTCTATATTTACCTTTCGGTCGTTGATGTTCTGGGTATACATATAAGTTTTTAATGTTCTGGGTTTACCTTTGGATTGTTGGGTAGTTGATATTCTGTGTTTACCTTTCGGTCGTTGATGTTCTGTGTTTACCTTTCGGTCGTTGATGTTGTGTTTACCTATCGGTAGTTGATGTTCTGTGTTTACCTTTAGGTTGTTGATGTTCTGTGATTACCTTTCGGTCGTTGATGTTCTGTGTTTACCTTTCGGTCGTTGATGTTGTGTTTACCTATCGGTAGTTGATGTTCTGTGTTTACCTTTGGGTTGTTGATGTTCTGTGTTTACCTTTGGGTTGTTGATGTTCTGTGATTACCTTTCGGTCGTTGATGTTGTGTTTACCTATCGGTAGTTGATGTTCTGTGTTTACCTTTGGGTTGTTGATGTTCTGTGTTTACCTTTCGGTCGTTGATGTTGTGTTTACCTATCGGTAGTTGATGTTCTGTGTTTACCTTTGGGTTGTTGATGTTCTATGTTTACCTTTCGGTCGTTGATGTTGCGTTAACCTATCGGTAGTTGATGTTCTGTGTTTACCTTTGGGTTGTTGATGTTATATGTTTACCTTTCGGTCGTTGATGGTCCGTTTACACATATAAGTTTTTGATCTTCTGTGTATACCTTTCGGTTGTTAATGTTCTATGTATACGTCTCGTCGCTGTCATATTTATTCTAATACATTACGCAATAACATCTAAACTATTAAAGATTCTTTATACACTTTAAATAATTATTTTCACATTCATTTAAACAAAATAAGAGCAGTTTTACAACTCGTTACAAGTAATTTCATTTTTGGCTTTCCTTCTTTTTGATTATGAATGTTTTGATGACATTACAATCAAAAAGACACTTCGAGGTCCTTGAATCTACATTGCGTTGTGAATTTAACATCTTATGGCTGTAAACACAATTAGGTCTGGTTCTCTTCACAGCATATACAAAAGTAAGGCACATGACATTATTCCCTCATCCTCTGTATTAAGGGATATCTTCCAACTACATGTACAAAATGTATACGGCACAACAGTGGTGACTCATCAACAAGTAGTGTTCATTATATTTAATAGATACCATATTAAGTATGAATAAATATCATTAAAATATTTTTACAACGTTGATGGTATCTCGTACGTTTTTTTGTTTGAAACTCTTAATATTAGACGTTTTGAAGACAAACTCGCTAGAAGTGAATGATGTCCATTTAGGCGATTAATTAGTTTTTATAGTTTGTTTTATATTTAACTTAGTCATGAGGTTACATCTATCATAACAAGCTTCCATTAACAGTAATACCAGATTGTTCGTTTTATCTGCCCGAGTTATTCGAAAACGCGCATGGTTAATCCAGGCTAATGAATATGAATTAAAGACCTATCGACATCAACATGTTAACTAAGGTCAACCATAAAATTTCCTTTTTGTTGAGTGATTTTATTGTACAGTGTAATAAGAAGTAATACTATTGTTATAGTAGATTCAGCTAAAATTGCCCAAAGATATATATTTTAGATAACTCTAACACCTGGACGTTTTACATTGGTTCAACCCAGTGGCACTTCCAAATTATTTTATTTATACAGCTAATATTAAGATTTATCTAAGGATTTTAAAGATAACAAAGCTGTTTAGCTCACTTTTTCCTTTAAGGCATTGCAAGAAGTTACTGGTGGCATTAAACAACTTTTTAGTATTTTACAAATCATCATGAAAACCTGTCATGGACTTTAAAAACACGGTAAACAGCAACAAAAGTTTTACAAAAAATAACAAATTGAATATGAGTCAAACCGTTTTTTTAAAAGTGAAAAAAACCAACAGTTTATAAATTTCATGCGTCCGATGCGCATTTCTAGATTTCCTTTATCGGGAACGTTCAAAGCCGAATATTTGAATGCCAATGATTATAAGAAACGGAACAGTTGAAGAGCTATAGGACCAAACAAGACATATAAAGAAAATGCCAAAACCATCTAAGGGCAAATTTTCATGAGGGCGTTGAAACCTTTGTTTCTTTAGAATTTTTAAATTTATAAAGGGTTATTTTAGAAATGGTTTGTCATAAATGCTATCAAATG